TGTGTGTGGGTTTACCTTGTGTCAGCAGGGACGAGTCCCATTCCCCCAGAGCTGGGCTTAGTGTTCTAAACTGCTTCTTTGCTCTGTGTTGCTTTAGTTTCTCTGCATTTCACTATTCTTGTCACTATTCCTTAATTCCTGGAGATCTCCTTTTTTTCTTCACTTACGTGTTGTTTTCCAGCTGTCTCAGTGCAAGTTCAGAGAGACCCTACCGTACTTCCAGGGTTTGTTCTGCCATTTTCAATTTCCTGCAGTAACTCTTCAGAGTTACTTTTTCTTTTCATGGTACTTGAATGAACCAAGAGTCTCATGCGTGCTAGGCAGATGCCTTGCAGTTGAGCTGTATCTCTAACCCTAGAGTCATCTTATAAAACTGAGACGCTGAGCCCATTTCCACCTTTCACCACTGAAAGCCACTACCCACTCCCCGCTGGGCAGCATTTTTCCCTCTCCCTGCTTCTGGCAGTCACCATTCCACTGTCTATTTCTTTGAGCTTGCTCACTTCACATAGCTTATATAAGTGTGACTGTGCAGTTTCTATCTTTTGTGAATGGCTTACCTCACTCAGCAGATGTCCTCTGCTTTGTCCATGTTGTAGCATATGACGTTATTTCTTCCTTTGATAAGGCTGGATAATAATCCATTGTATCTCTACGTTATGCTGTCTTTCTCCCATTCATTCGTCATTGGGTGCTCGAATTGCTTCCGTCTCTTACGTTTCCACCTGCTCTTTAAGCCTTGTGGTCCAATTCAAATGCCGTCTCCTCCGTGACTCCGTCACCATTCAGCCAGAAGGAATTATTCTTTCCTCAAAACTGTTACTTTATTTGTATCCTTCATAGTAAATGTGTGAGTTTCTATCTTACAAGTAAATACCTCCTACCATGGAAGGTCCTAGAGGACAAATCTCTGGCTAATTTGTCTTTGTTCAGTAATTCTTCCTGATCCATGATTTCACTTTCTTTGGTTTCAGTTATCCATGGTGAACTGTCCTTTGAAAATATTAAATGGAAAATCTTAGCAAAAGAAAATGCAGAAGTTTTATTAGTACATGTTTACAGGACATAATATCTACATTCCTGATGAGTTTGTACATGCGTAGAACACTTTTTAATTCCTTTTGTCATCTCCTACCTCTGCCCTACCTCCTCCCCTTCTCTCCTCCCTCCCTGCTGTTCTGAATCGCATGATGAAATCTCTATCACCCCAAGCATATGACTCATCCCTTTGTCCAGTGTGTCCATACTGTATAAGCTACCTGCCCATTGAGAGTTGAGAGGCCACATTCATATAATTTATACTATATTGTTATAATTATTCTGTGTTATTACTAGTTGTTAGTCTCTCACTGTGTCTGATGTATAAACGTTATTATAGGTTTATATGGAGGGGGAAATAGCACATATAGTGTTCAGTACTACCTAAGGCTTCGGTCATCCTCTGAGGGTCTTGGAACATAAGACTATCAGATGGAGAAGATATACTATCAACTTACCAGTTGACAAAAACTAGTAAACTAGTCAGTTTAAGTGAAAAGAGATTACAGATTTCTCTTGTAGTAAGATTTCAGTTGCGTGATTATGACATGAAATTTGCCATTTTGAATGTGCAGTTTTGTGGCATTTAGCATATTTACATTATGCTACAGTTTATATTTTTAATGGGGTTTTTTGACTTCTATATAAATGGGACCAGCATACTTGTTTTGGAAGGAACACAGGGTGTGGATTTGTTCCAGAAAAAGGTCATGTTTCTGAAGTGCAGTTTTGTGACTGATTAGAACATTATACAAACTTGTCTTTTTAAGAATTTTCCTCTATTTTGTGGCGTGTGCTACCTCATCCTCCCTCTTTCCTTGTCTTCCTTGCTTTAGAGATGTTCTCTGCAAATCGTTGTTAATTTCTGCCCTATCCAATCTCCTTTGAAGCATGCTGCCATAGCTTAGGTGTGTATTTCTGGACTGCAGCCATTTAGCAGATCCCCCTGTAGTACAAGTTGTGAATAATTCTGAGACACAGCGGAGGGAAAAGGGAAGTGATGCCTCATAATGTTAATCCCTGTGTCTTGGCAGACTAACATTAACATGAATTTTTAGCTCTTCAGGATAAAAAATAGCTTCAGCATTCACATTCGTCTTTAATAAATGTCAAGCATTTAAACACTGTTATATGTGTTATGGAAGAGCTTGTTAAGAATTTTCTAAAGGTTTATACAGAAAATTCATATCCTTTCAAGAACATTAAATAAAATGATTTCCAACTGAAAGTGGTAAAAAAGAAGTATTGTGTAGATGGCTCCTGACTTACACTGATTCAGCTTGTGACTTTTCAGCTTTTCCATGGTGCAGAAGCAGTACACATTGTGGAATTGTGATCTTTTCCTAGGCTGCTGACAGCTGGTGTGGTGTTCTTTTGTGGTGCGGGGCAGTGGTCACGGGCCAGGCTCCAGAGGCAGTCATGTGATGAGGAAGGTAGACCTGTGTCACTCAGCTGTGATGTTCTATAGGTGAAGTGCATTAAATGCAGTTTTGACATATTTATTTCAGAATGGGTTTATGGGGATATGTGAATTGCAGGTTTCTTGGACTCCATACGACTTTCCTGTGATTAACTTTCTGTATTCGTTGTTCCTTGGTAGATTTTCCTCTTAGCCGTGAGTATGAAATATTGTGATACTTCATGTTCACAAATGTCAAGGAACCTAAAGGTTAAGATTGTAGGACCCTTTCTTACAGGTCAGAATTTATGAGACTTGAGCTAGTGTGCGTGCATGTGCTTATTATTATGTATTAGACTTGCTGAATGTTTATTCTAAAATTTGTAATGTGTGACCAGTCCAGTTCGTTAAACAGAGTGAGCTAGAAGATTTGCGATCGGTTTATCTTGCATATTACTACACTTGACCCTGCACCAGTGTTGTTTTTTTTTTTTTTTTTTTCCTGCGCCAATGTTTTAAGTTGTTCCTGAAGGATGTGGAGGATAAAATGTGGATAATGCATCAAAATGATTTTTTATTTTTATGTGAATAACTATGTTTTGTTTATCACAATAATGAATTTCAGTCTTACAGTAGCCAGCCTAGTAAGTGATCACTGAAATATAATCCCTTTAATTAGTGTTTAGACTTTTAAAAACCTTTAGATGTATTGGTGATGAGTTTTTAAAATAGTTTTAATTGGTCACCAGCATTTTCCTCTTCAACAGGGACAAGAAGAGCTGTCTGTCAGATGTCTGTCCTGTTACTGGTGAGGTGATATAGTAAATGGGGGCAGGCCTGTAAGCACCTGCATGGCACCTGAAGCATACGGTCTGCTCAGTAAATGCAGATTGTCCCCTTTACCTTTCAAGCGCGGTCATTTGCTGAAGGATTCCTGCAGCCTGTGCTGGTGCTGTGGGTCTTTAGGGAGAACGAAGAGGCTTGTTGTGTGCGTGTTGAGAAGGGTATGCTGGACAGACACCAAAAGTCCCTGGTCATTTCTCAGAAGAAGACTGAGCAGGAGAACCCCGAGTGGTCCATACGCAAAGGACGCTCCCCAGCCGTGACATCCCATTGTTACGGAACTTCCTTTAGGTCACAAGTGAGGTCCACAAACTGAGAGCAGGACCCAGGTCATCACGTACAGTCAGCCACACTTTCCCTGAGTTCCTGCTTGTGCCGTCTGTTCCAGAGAGGAAGGAATAGGCAGCTGCTGTTTGAGCTAGACAAGGCGCTCAGAGCTAGGGTAACTGCCTCAGTTTGTCTGATAAGTTACATGGTCAAGCTCCTAGTGTGGGAGATGGTATTAAAAAACTAGAGGCTATAACTGGGGGCGCCGGGGCCTGACTTCGGGAGTGGACAGAAGAGACTTCTCTAAGGAAGTGCCTCTCTAGAAGAAGCCTGAGAGAAGCACTGATGAAAAAGTTCATGCTGTCATTCACGTCAGGGTCTTTGTCCTGCCCCGGCCCCTCTGGCCGGAAGAGAAAATAGTTATAGATAACAGGTGGCAATCTGTGAGTCATGAAATTAATTTTTGAGTAGTCATTTGTTTTTAAAATGTATGTGTGTGTGTGTGTGTGTATATATATATATATATATATATACATATATATATTAGAAAATATCAAGAGTATATGGTACGCAGTAAGGGTAAATATGAAATAAAATTTATATATCATGTATGTACATATTCATAATATAAAGATATTTCTTACTGTAGGTCATAGTTAAAATACCTTAAAGATACTTGGTGTAGAACGAGTGGGAATGCTGTCACACTATTACCCTGACCTTGTGTATGATTGCACTTTCAGTTACTTACTATTTAGGGAGGGAAAGAGAACGGCAGCACGGTTCAGGCCGAGGGGGGACTGGATACTCCAGGCCTGTACGATGACCGGAGAGCGGGCGGCCTTGCGTGTTTCTCCCTGGCCTCCGTTTTATCATGACCGAACACGAAGGGGCTGTGGGAGCTGGGGCTGAGCGAGGGCTCCTGGCGAGCGCTGTCCTCCTCCAGCAAGCGTTGGTGCGTTCTCCTGAAGCGCAGCTGTAGTACTGCCCCACGGAGTTACCGCGAGCCGTCCGTGGTTTGTCCGTGTTACAGGTGCACTCAGCGTGTTCCAGTGACTGCATTTTTACCTTCACTTCGTTATTTTTTTTAACCTCTGTAGACTCCACACCCTGAGAAGAAGATGCTTTGTTTTGATGATGTTAGTTATAAATTCCAGAATAAATAAGAATTATGGCTAACTTAGTTTCTTTATATTTGGAAAGAAGGTAATTACTACTCTCATTTTTTTTTAAATGCCAGGCTGTTTCTCTAGAAGAATAGGATGGTGACATAGTTCTGAAATTGTGCAGTTATATCTTAATTTTAAAGTAAATCAGCATAGAATTCCTCTGCCTTTCCTTCTTCTGCCCTCAAGTGTAATAGTGTTTGTCTGGTCACATGGACCTTTTCCAAGGTAGAGAACGCCGACACGGAGAAACATTTTCACTTACTTCTGATTTCCCCCTCCTTTAGATTTCACCACCCGATCCTCAGCCCTCTGGAGAGCAGCTTCCAGCTGGAGGTCGATGTCCTGAGCCATCTCCTGAAGGCCCAGGCGCAGGTCTCAGAGTGGAAGTTCCTCCCTTCCCTGGTTAACTTGCACAGTGCGCACACCAAGCTGCAGACCTGGGGCCAAATCTTCGAAAAGCAGCGAGAGACCAAGAAGCACCTGTTTGGAGGGCAGTCGCAGAAGGCCGTTCAGCCCCCACACCTGTTCCTTTGGCTGGTGAAACTCAAAAACATGCTCCTGGCCAAGTTTAGCTTTTACTTTCACGAGGCATTGAGCCGACAGACTACCGCTTCAGAAATGAAAGCGTTGACTGCAAAGGCTAACCCAGACCTTTTTGGAAAGATTTCCAGCTTCATCAGGAAATACGATGCTGCCAATGTGTCCTTAATTTTTGACAACCGAGGTTCAGAGAGCTTTCAAGGTCATGGCTATCATCACCCCCATTCCTACAGAGAGGCCCCTAAGGGCGTGGACCAGTACCCCGCCGTGGTGTCTCTGCCCAGTGACAGGCCTGTCATGCACTGGCCCAACGTCATCATGATCATGACGGACCGCACGTCCGACCTGAACAGCCTGGAGAAAGTGGTCCACTTCTATGATGACAAAGTTCAGAGCACCTACTTCCTGACCCGCCCAGAGCCTCACTTCACCATCGTGCTCATTTTTGAGTCAAAGAAATCAGAGAGAGACTCCCACTTTATTTCCTTCCTCAATGAGCTCTCACTTGCTCTAAAGAACCCCAAAGTCTTTGCAAGTCTAAAACCTGGATCCAAAGGTTAGCGGATGACTTGTGTGAAAGATTCTGGAGACTAGAAGTTGTGTTTAATTGCCATGACGATCTACAGTGGTCCATGACTAGAATTTACATCCATTCATGCTTCTTTCAGAGCTAAATTAAAAGTAAACCCGCCCTAACTGTGTTGCACACTTTATAAGTAATTAAGGCCAATTGCATTAAATATCCAAAGAGTAATCCAGGAAGTGATCGTGAGTTGCTGTGTATGCATGGTAGAGCAGCGTAGTTCTGGCGTTTTCTCCCATTTTCCTGTGTTTCATGTAGACTGTTGAGTAGTCTTTGCTTTCTATTTCTAGGTGTTTTTTTATTATTCTAAATACTGTGTTTTAATGCATTTCCAAACATCCCTGTCTTCCCTATTTTCCAGCACGAGTAATTGGGGTAAGGTATTAAGTGGGTATGCCTTCTGTCTCATAAATTGTCCAATTAACGTGGAGCTTCTTAATTCTGGTATACAAATTAGTATTTTAATGTCACAGGATCTTGGTAAGAAATCCCCGTTAGTTACTGAAGTTAAGGATGGGTGATTGGTACCATAACAGCGAGTTTTAACAGCTGGAATTACTTCTTGGCAGCCTTAGTAGTCGTAGGTTCTTTCAGAATGAAAGCACTAATACATGTGTCTTTACTATTACACGGTCTGAGGTTTGAGCTTTTCACTGTCTGCATAAGCCATCACAAGGATTTTTTGGTGTGTTATCTCCCTTGCTTTTTGTTTATCATTTCCCTGCTGAACTGTATGTTCATGTTTGGCTCTACCGGTTTTTCTTAGGCTTAGAAAGCGTATAGTCTTGGTTTTTCAGCCACTTGTAGTTTGTCACACAACAGAGCCTACTTTTATAAAATCAGAGTGGAAGGCCTTTTGATACCTAGCACTTGCTGAAAATCAGTTGTGCTTTCAAAACTCCTCTTTGTGGTTGAGCAATCAGCTCAGTACCTATGCACTTTTGAACCTGGCTTTCACGTTTGCCTCCCACAGATTATGCTTCTGAGCAGTGCTGCACCTTAGCCTGCCTTACATTTTGCTCTAGTAGATGTTCTTGGGGAAGTGGACAGATCCGTGAAGGGGTAACAGGCTGTGGGGACCTTCACTTCTGTTACTGGTTCAGAGTAACAGCAGCCCCAAATAACTGAGTTGCTGCCTGGTAGTTCCTTCAAAGCTGGTGTGAAATGCAAACGTCAGGTCAGCCCTGTCTTTCAGGATCCGGTGGAGCCGTTGCTCGGGCGTCCACAGCAGGCGTGGTGGGATACCCAGCGTGGGAGTCTGCCCGCCCCGCCTGGGCTGCCTGGTAGGCAACCCCGTGGCGTCTTCTCTGGAGAGAACAGGTGTTTTTCTTTTCTTTATTTCTCTTTCTCTCTTTTCCGTCATATTGTTTGTAAGAAAGCCAGCTTACTTTAAGTAGTAGTGTTTACCTCTGCATTGTATTCACTGGTTTTATAAAATATGAATAGATTTTACATTAATATAACAGTTGAAAATAGGTGGAACTAAAGAGTCAGACAGTGTTTCCTCCTTTTTGTGTTTTGCCAAGAAACTGAAAAATATTCCTTGGTGTGCATGTGTCTTTCTTTCCTAGGTGAAACCACCATTAGCCTTAATGACAAGGACCCCAAGTACCTAAAAGAATATATGCTTCATATCTTCACAGAGAGCGTGAATAAAACCTGTATACAATGCTTAAGTAGTCAAATATATACATATTTGAATTGTATATTTATTTTAAATGTATTTTTAAACATAAACACAAGAGTTTTTCAACAGACGGAAGGTAGAGGTAACTTAAAATCTAAGAGCATAAATTCACAAGTCCCTGCAGCGGTCATAGACTGTAGGTTAAATATTGATACTTTAATCACTTCTTAAGCTCTTCAATAAAGTTTTCTAATTATATGAGAAAGACATATTTTGGTTCAAAACACAAAGCCATTTTTACTCTTAAGATGTCTAAGGAAAGTAACGAGACGATGTGTGATGCCTGCTTTTAACTAATTTGAAGAGTAAATCTGTACATTTTCTACCGACTGCCTGCTTTGAAATTTGTTTGTGAACTACAGCCTGGTAAATGTGTGTGCTTAGCTGGGAGTAGCAGGCCGCGCTGAGCTCGCTGGAGCCCTTCAAGGAGTGTTTGACTTCAGGGTGTTGGACACAGGATGAACGCTTGCAACTTGGGTTTGTCTTTGTGGGGCCTGATGTCTGCAATGTTTCTCTGGGGGGAGTGTGTGCAAATAAAGCCTCCTCTTCACTGCGGAGTCAGTGTCTGTATAGTCAGTACTCTGTCTAGAACTGACCTGTACATCTGGACGTACTGGGGCAGTCTTTCAGGAAAGAGAAGAATTGACACTTCACTGCACTCCCACTGGAATCACTTGGGTGATCTCACAATATGTTCACACCGATCTACCAGCAAGTGAGCCTCTGAGTTCAGTATTCCTGTCTGTAAAATGGGGACACAAAAGCGTGGGCTGGCTTTTTCAAAGCCTGCTACAAGGCTGTAATGAAACCATGTGTACAAAAAAGGGTTTGAAAACTTGCTGGGGGTGAAAGCTGTATAGGTGAAAGACGAAGCCACTGTTCCCTTAAACGTGACACCTCTCCTCTTTTATCTTCATGTCTGTGGCCACCCTGTGCTTAGTCGTAAACTCGAACCGTCCCTAAAGAACTCTTGCGGAAGATGCATACCAAGGCTTGACACACCCACCGCTTCTTCCCATGTTAGTCTGCGTTATTCTCCGTTCCCACACTTTGGTGGTTGGTGGATAGCACCCTTTCAGTTCCTCTTTATTACTGATTTTATTGGGGGTTTTGTTTTTGTTTTTTGTGTTTTTGAGGCAGGCTCTCACTGTGTGACCCAGACCGGCCTTGAATTCACCGTGCAGCTCGGAGAGGCCGGGAGTCTGTGTGCTCCCGCCTTGGCCTCCGGCAGGCCCAGCTTGGTGTCTTTCGCTCTCGTGCTGCCTGAAGTGAGCAAGCCTCATAAGGTCTCCAGCAGTGACTCTGGACGTGGGCTCTCTCCTGGCGTTGCCTGGGTAGGTTACATCCCTAGTGTTACAAGCTGTGAGACTCTTAATTACGTTTTTCCTTTTTTATTAGCCAGGATATATCTACAAAGAATGGCTCAGCTCCAACTGTTTGGTTACTTCAAATTACAGTTCAAAGGAATGAGAGAGAACAGTTTTTAAAATAATGGCACTTTCCAGACACCCTGGAGAATTTTTAAAGACACACTATGTATGTGAATTTGTAAGGGTTTTTGCTCTTAACATTTAACCTAGAATTTAAAGCAGCCATTTTTCTCTTTACTGCGGATAGTTCTGTGTAAATATTACGACCTTCCTTTACGTATCCCTCCTGGTTGATTTTGTCTGCCTTGCGTCAACTCTTTTCTCCTCCTCTGGCCCGCCCTCTCTCCCTCCTCCTCCTCTTCCCCCTTTCCTTAGTTTCTGAGATCTTCCTCACCAGTTTCACTTTCTTACTTTGTTTCATGTCTCAGGGGCCAAAACCTGCCCCACCGGCTCAACCCAGTTTGGGGAGCTGGCGTGGGAAAATACTCATTCTGATTGTGCTTGCAACCAGTCTTTTTCAGGCACTAGGGCAGGAATATGCGCAGTATACAGGGGGAGGGCTTGATTCGACACCATGAAGTGACCCCATGGAGCCACAACACATAGGACTTCAGGGCTGGGGATTTAGCTCAGCGGCACAGCGCCTGCCTGGCAAGCTCAAGGTCGTGAGTTCGATTCCCGGTACCGGGGAAAAAAAAAACAAAACAAAAAACCAGGACTTCTAGTCAGCTACCTGCAACCGGCGCTGTTGGTATGTAGCAGACAGCTTGGTGCGGGACTGCCCGACAGAAACCATTTGAAACTAAAACCTTGCCAAATATATTTTAAATATGTAACGTTTTATTAAGTAAAAGCTCATTCTTTGTCTGTTTGCTGTAACTAACCAGTGTGTAAAAGCATTAAATTAGCCTCTGGTTCTTTTCTTTAAAAGTTTAAGAAAATAGATATTTTGAGAGCGAGCGAGAACGCCATGTGACTCCTAAGAAAGCTCTTGTAGGTAGAGTTTGATTTAGCAATTCCTGCCCTCCTCTTCTATCAGGGTTCTGTTATTTTATGGCCTTTTGCCCCAGTTGTTCTAAGCAGTTGCTCAGAGGAAGTGAGTCGGAAGGCACGGGCTTGAAGTGCACATCTGCCTGCGGAGACTTCTCTTATACCGTGTAATCCGAAAGGATTCGTTGAAGCAAGCATCTTGGCTTGTCTGCGGATTTTTCAAAGGTGCTTTCTATACAGGATCCATTGCTGGGGCTCTTCACGTTTCAAACCGTGTGGGATTTATACGATGTCAGTGCTGGAAAACGGAGAGAGGCAGTGACCTTCCCTTCCTGCGTCCCCAGCGGTCAGAGTCTGTGGTGGGGTCTCAGATACAGCGTAACTCAAGAGGGGCTGGGGATTTAGCTCAGCGGCAAAAGCGCCTGCCTGGCAAGCGCAAGGTCGTGAGTTCGGTTCCCGGTACCGGAGAAAAACCAAA